GATAGAATAAATGATACATAGTTAATTAGAAACAGATACATTAATAGATAATAGATAGATGTAGATATATAGATAGATATAGGATGATGGATGCATGGATGGATGGATAGGTGGATGATGAATGTGTGGGCGTATAGATGGTTAGATGGACACATGGACAGATGGGTGGATACCTAGATAAATATAGAGACATAGACATAGGTGATTAATAGCTAAATATAGAGATGATAGATACATAGATAGATGATAGATGATAGGTAGATAGAAATAGATAAGATGGATGGATAGATAGAATAAATAATACATAGTTAATTAGAAACATTCATAAATAGATGATAGATAGATGATAGAGATAGATAGATGATAGATAGATAGATAGACAAATAGATAGATATAGGGTGATGGATGCATGGATGGGTGGATGATGGATGTGTGGGTGTATGGATGGTTCGATGGATGCATGGACTGATGGATACAAAGATAAATATGGAGACATAGATATAGATAATTAACAGCTAAATATAGAGATGATAGATACATAGATAGATGATAGAAAGATAGACAGATAGATAGATAGATAGATAGATAGAAAGACAGATAGATAGATAGATAAGATGGATGGATGATGGATAGATGTGTATATGGATGGCTAGATGGATGCGAGGATGGATAGGTGGATGGATAAATGGATACATAGATAAATATAGAAATGTAGACAGAAATGATTAATAGTTACATGTAGAGATGGTAGATAGATAGTAGGTAGATAGATAGAATAGATAAATAGAATAGATGAAACAGATAGATACATAAATAAATGATAGATAGATAGATAGATAGATAGATAGATAGATAGATAGATGATGGAATGGATGGTGGATGATGGATGGATGGATAGATAGATGAAGAGATGAATGGTAGAGATAGATGATAGATAGGATGGATGGTGGATGTGGGGGTGTATAGATGGTTAGATGGATGCATGGATGGACGGATGAATAGATGGATGGATGGATGGATGGATGGATGGATACAAAGGTAAATATAGAGACATAGACATAGGTGATTCATAAGTAAATATAGGGATGATAGATAGATAGTTGTGAGAATGGATAGATAGATAATAGAGAAATAGATAGGTAGACAGATAGAAATGATGGATAGAAGAAGATATAGAATGGATAGATAAGTAGATGACAGAGTGAAATGGGTGATGGATAGATGGATGACAGATAGAGATAGGATGGATAGATAAATAGATGATAGATGATTGATAGATATAGTTTGATGGGTGATGGATGGGTGATGGATAGATAGATGATAGAAATAGGGTGAATTGATAGATGATAAGATGGATGATGGATAGGTAGATGATAGATGGATGATGATAGAGTTGGATGGGTGATGGATAGATAGATGATAGAGATAGGATGGATTGATAGATGATACAGTTAGATGGGTGATGGATAGGTAGATGACAGAGATAGAATGGATTGATAGATGATAAAGTTAGATGGGTAATGGATGGGTGATGGATAGATAGATGACAGAGATAGGATGGGTAGGTAAATAGATGATAGATGATTGGTAGAGATAGGATGGATTGATAACTAGATAATAGATGATAGATAGAGATAGGATGGGTAGATAGATAAATAGATGATGTAGTTAGATGGGTGATGGGTGGATATGTGATGGATAGAGAAATGATGGAGAGATAGAAATAGGATGGATTGATAGATGATAAAGGTAGATGGGTGATGGATGGGTGATTGATGGATAGATGATAGAAATAGGGTGAATTGATAGATGATAAGATGGATGATGGATAGGTAGATGATAGAGATAGGATGGATTGATAAATAGATAATAGATGATAGAGATAGGATGGGTAGATAGATAAAGAGATGCTGTAGTTAGATGGATGATGGGTGGATGGGTGATGGATAGATAGATGATAGATAGATAGAGATAGGATGGATTGATAGATGATAAAGTTAGATGGATGATGGGTGGGTGATGGATGGATAGATGACAGAGATAGGATGGATAGATAAATAGATGATAGATGATAAATATGGTTAGATGGGTGATGGATGGGTGATGGATAGATAGATGATAGTTGGAGTTGTGATGGATTGATAAATAGATAATTGATCGATGATAGAGATAGGATGGATGATGGATAGATGGGTGATGGATGGATAGATGATAGTTGGAGATGTGATGGATTGATAAATAGATAATTGATAGATGATAGATAGAGATAGGATAGGTGATGGATAGATGGGTGATGGATAGATGGGTGATGGATAGATAGATGATAGTTGGAGATGTGATGGATTGATAAATAGATGATAGATAGATGATAGAGATAGGATGGATGATGGATAGATGGGTGATGGATGGATAGACCATAGTTGGAGATGTGATGGATTAATAAATAGATAATTGATAGATGACAGAGTGAGATGGATAATGGATAGATGGGTGATGGATAGATAGATGATGGAGATGTGATGGATTAATAAATAAATAATTGATAGATGATAGAGATAGGATGGATTGATAGTTGATAGGTAGATGACAGAGAGAGATGGGTGATGGATTGATGGTGATGGATGGATAGATGATAGTTGGAGATGTGATGGATTGATAAATAGATAACTGATCGATGATAGAGATAGGATGGATGATGGGTAGATGGTGATGGATGGATAGACCATAGTTGGAGATGTGATGGATTGATTAATAGATGATTGATAGATGACAGAGATAGGATGGTGATGGATAGATGGGTGATGGATGGATAGACCATAGTTGGAGATGTGATGGATTGATTAATAGATGATTGATAGATGGTAGAGATAGGATGGGTGACGGATCGATGGTGATGGACACCCGCAGGGCCCTTCTCTCGAGGGTGTTCGATGAGGTGGTGGAGGTCAGCCTGGCGGACAGCGCGGACCCCGCCCGCCTGGCCCTCCTGCGGCGCCCGGAGCTGGGCCCCACGCTCACCAAGCTGCACTGCTGGGCGCTCACGCGCTACCGCAAGGCCGTGTTCCTGGACGCCGACACGCTGGTGAGCGCGCCGGGGGTTCTGGGGGCGCCGGGGGTTCTGGGGGCGAGACGCTGGGGATTCTGGGGGCAGCCGGGGATTCTGGGAGAGAGACGCTGGGGAGCACCGGGGGTTCTGGGGGCACCGGGGATTCTGGGAGCAGCTGGGGATTCTGGGAGAGCACCGGGGATTCTGGGAGAGAGACTCTGATGAGCACTGGGGATTCTGGGAGATAGACGCTGGTGAACACCAGGGATTCTGGGAGAGAGACGCTGGGGAGCACCAGGGATTCTGGGAGCAGCCAGGGGTTCTGGGGGCAGCTGGGGATTGTGGGAACAAGATGCTGGTGAGCACTGGGGATTCTGGGAGCAGCAGGGGATTCTGGGAGCACCCAGGGGTTCTGGGAGCAGCCGGGGATCTGGGGGAGAGACAGTGGGGAGCACCGGGGATTCTGGGGGAGAGACACTGGGGAGCACCGGGGATTCTGGGGGAGAGACATTGGGGAGCACCGGGGATTCTGGGGGAGAGACACTGGGAAGCACCGGGGATTCTGGGAGCAGCCAGGGATTCTGGGGGCAAGATGCTGGGGAGCACCGGGGGTTCTGGGAGCAGCCAGGGATTCTGGGGGCAGCTGGGGATTCTGGGGGCAGCTGGGGATTGTGGGAGCTAGATGCTGGTGAGTACTGGGGATTCTGGGAGCAGCAGGGGATTCTGGGAGCACCCAGGGGTTCTGGGAGCAGCCGGAGATCTGGGGGAGAGACACTGGGGAGCACCGGGGATTCTGGGAGCACTCGGGGATTCTGGGGGCGAGAGGCTGGTGAGCACCGGGGATTCTGGGAGAGAGACGGCGCCCTTGTGGAGAGAAGCCCGTCAGACACCCTGCCTCATGCTCCCCTTTCAGCAGGCTGCAACCTTAGGGCAGGGAGATTTCCCATCAGGGAACTTAGAACAGGTGTGTATTTTATTTTATTATATTATTTTATTTAATTTATTTTATTTTATTTATAGATTTTATTTATTTTATTTTTATTTTTTTAGTTTAATTTAATTAATTTTATTTTTTAATTTTTTAAATTTTTTTATTATTTTATTTTATTTATTATTTTCTTTTCTTTTTAAATTTTTAAAATTTAAAATTTTATTTATTTTATCATTTTATTTATTTTGTTTTATTTTATTTTATTTTTAAATTTTATTTTATTTATTACATTTTATTTTATTTTATTTTTATTTTACTTTATTATTTATTTTTATTTATTTTGTTATTTTATTTCATTATTTTATTTCATTTTATTTATTTTATTTTAATTTAATTTAATTTAATTTATTTTATTTTTAATTTTTAATTTTTTAATTTTTTTAATTTTCCATTTTTAATTTAATTAATTAATTAATTAATTAATTTTCTATTTTATTATTTTATTTTATTTTATTTATTTTATTATTTTATCATTCACTAGAGGCCTGGTGCACAAAATTCTCCAGCCCACCACCCGGGCATGTGCCCTTGACCAGGAATCGAACCCATGACCTTCTGGTTCCTAGGTTGTTGATACTCAGCCCCTCAGCCACACCAGCCAGGACTTGATTGGCCATTTTTTTAACATTTGTTTTTGTCTGTAGTGAGAGCAACCTGCCCCAGGGGCTCAGACCTCCTCTGATGGACAGGTTGCCATGAGCCAACCCGGTCTGGGCCCGCCCTCAAGCCCCACCTTCATTCCTCACCTCTTCAAACAGGAAGTCCCCCCTCATTGCTCACCTCTGCGAAACAGGAAGTCCACAGGAGGGGGCGTGGCTAACGGGTTCCTCTGCTCTGATTGACATGTTACCATGAGCCAATGCTAAGGTCTGGACCCGCCCTTAAGACACGCCTTCATTCCTAACCTCTTCCAACCGGAAGTCCCGCCCTCTTTTTTTTTTTAAACTGTGAAACCGGAAGTCCCGCCCTCCTTTCTCACCTGATGCAAAGGAAGTCTGCAGGAGGGGGCGTGGCTAACTGGTTCCCCTGGATCTGAATGACAGGTTGTCAAGAGCCAACACAGTCTGGGCCCCTCCTCAAGCCCCGCCCTCCTTCACTTCTTCAAACAGGAAGTCCCGCCCTCCTTCATCACCTGCAAAACCAGAAGTCCCGCCCCTTTATCACCTCTGCAAACCGGAAGTCCCACCCCTTTCTCACCTCTGCAAATCGGAAGTCCTGCCCCCTTTCTCACCTGGAAAAAAATGGAAGTCCTGCCCTCATTTCTTTCTTGTTTTTGAGATCATACAGTATTTTTTAAAATTTATTTTATTGATTATGGTCTCACCTAATTGTCCTTACACCCACATTCCCATCTGCCCGCTTTTCTCACCTCTTTGAACTGGAAGTCCCGCCCTCTTTTCTCACCTGTTCCAACTGGAAAAGTCCCACCTTCATTCCTCACCTCTTTGAACCGGAAGTCCCGCCCTCTTTTCTCGACTGCGGAAACCGGAAGTCCCGCCCTTTATTTTTTTTAAAGTTATTTTATTGATTATGGTCTCACATCATTGTCCTTACACCCCTATTCCCATCCGCCCGCTTTTCTCACCTCTTTGAACAGGAAGTCCCACCCTCTTTTCTCTACTGAAAAAACGGAAGTCCTGCCCTCCTTTCTTTTTTTTTTTCCTTTATTTTTGAGATCATACAGTATTTTTTTAAAATTTATTTTATTGATTATGGTCTCACATCATTGTCCTTACACCCCCATTCCCATCCGCCCGCTTTTTTCACCTGCAAAACCGGAAGTCCCGCCCCTTTGCTCACCTCTTCCAACCGGAATTCTCGCCCTCTTCTTGCCTCTTCAAATTGGAAGTCCCGCCCCTTTTCTCACCTCTTTGAACCGGAAGTCCCGCCCCTTTGCTCACCTCTTCCAACCGGAATTCTCGCCCTCTTCTTGCCTCTTCAAACTGGAAGTCCCGCCCCTTTTCTCACCTCTTTGAACCGGAAGTCCCACCCTCTTCCCCCCACCTCTTCAAACCGGAAGTCCCGCCTTCATTCCTCACCTCTTTGAACCAGAAGTCCCGCCCTCCTTTTTTTTTTTTTTGAGATCATACAGTATTTTTTAAAATTTATTTTATTGATTATGGTCTCACCTAATTGTCCTTACACCCCCATTCCCATCCGCCCGCTTTTCTCACCCCTTTGAACCGGAAGTCCCGCCCTCTTTTCTCACCTGTTCCAACTGGAAAAGTCCCGCCTTCATTCCTCACCTCTTTGAACTGGAAGTCCCGCCCTCTTTTCTCGACTGCGGAAACCGGAAGTCCCGCCCTTCTTTATTTTTTTTTAAATTTATTTTATTGATTATGGTCTCACATCATTGTCCTTACACCCCCATTCTCATCCGCCCGCTTTTCTCACCTCTTTGAACAGGAAGTCCCGCACTCTTTTCTCAACTGAAGAAACCGGAAGTCCCGCCCTCCTTCTTTCTTTTTTTTTTTTTTTTTGAGATTATACAGTACTTCTTTTTTAAATTTTTTTTATTGATTATGGTCTCACCTAATTGTCTTTACACCCCCATTCTCATCCGCCCTCTTTTCTCACCTCTTGGAACCGGAAGTCCCACCCTCTTTTCTCACCTGGAAAAAAATGGAAGTCCTGCCCTCATTTCTTTCTTGTTTTTGAGATCATACAGTATTTTTTTTTAAATTTATTTTATTGATTATGGTCTCACCTAATTGTCCTTAAACCCCCATTCCCATCCGCCCCATTTTCTCACGTCTTGGAATCGGATGTCCCGCCCTCTTTTCTCACCTGCAGTAAACCGGAAGTCCCGCCCTTGTTCTTTCTTTTTTTTTTTTGAGATCATACAGTATTTTTTTAAAATTTATTTCATTGATTATGGTCTCACCTAATTGTCCTTACACCCCCATTCCCATCCGCCCCCTTTTCTCACCTCTTTGAACAGGAAGTCCCGCCCTCTTTTCTCACCTGCAGAAACCGGAAGTCCCGCCCTTCTTTCTTTTTTTTTCCTTTTTTTTTTGAGATCATACAATAGTTTTTTCTTTTAATATTTATTTTATTGATTATGGTCTCACCTAATTGTCCTTACACCCCCATTCCCATCCGCCCCCTTTTCTCACCTCTTGGAACCGGAAGTCCCGCCCTCTTTCCCCCACCCCGCCTCTTCAAACCGGAAGTCCCGCCCCTTTTCCTCACCCGCAAACCCGGAAGTCCGCCGGAAGGGGGCGTGGCTAACGGGTCTCCCTCCTCCCCCCCCCCCCCCCCGTCTCTGATGGACAGGTGCTCTCCAACATCGATGAACTCTTTGACAGAAGCGAGTTCTCGGCTGCCCCGGACCCAGGCTGGCCCGACTGCTTCAACAGCGGGGTGTTTGTCTTCCGGCCGTCGCTGCGCACGCACGGCCTGCTGCTCCGGCACGCCATGGACCACGGCAGCTTCGACGGTGCGCGGGGCACGCCTCGGGGAGTTTGGGGGGCCGAGAACAGGGGACCCCAGACCCCCTGCCCCACGCTTCTCCTCCTCCCCGTGGCCTGAGAAAGAACGAATGCATGAAAATTTCAACACAAATAAGAAATAATAATAACAATAATAATAAATAATGGGATGTGGGCCCTGGCTGGGGTGGCTCAGTGGGCAGGGCGTCTGATTTTTTTTTTTCCTCCCTCCCCCCCACCCACTGCGGATGTGCCCTCAGCCACCAAGGTCCATGCCCTTGGCCGGGAATCGAACCCGGGACCCTTCCGTCCGCAAGCTCAATAATGCTCTGTTTGAGGAGACACATCTATTTTTTAAGACTAGGATAGAGGCCCCTGGTGGGTGTGGCTGCTGGAGGCGGGAGGGTCCCGGGTTCGATTCCCGGTCAAGGGCATGGACCTTGGTGGCCGAGGGCGCATCCCCCGTGGGGGGCGTGCAGGAGGCGGCCGGTCCGTGGTTCTCTCTCCTCCTGGATGTTTCTCTCTTTCTTTCTTCCTCTCCCTTCTTCTCTCTGAAACCAATAAAAATATATTTAAATTAAAAAAATAAATTGCAGCCGGTCTCTCCCATCATGAATGCTTCTCTCTCTCTCTCTCTCTCTCTCTCTCTCTCTCTCTCTCTCTCTCTCTCTCCTTTTCCCTCATTCTCTGACATCAATGAAAATACATTTAAATGATAAAAATAAAGAAATGAAAGAGCCCAGGACCGGTGTGGCTCAGTGGATAGCGCATCAGCCTGTGGACTGAACGGTCCCGGGTTCGATTCCCGGTCAAGGGCACAGGCCTGGGTTGTAGGCTCCATCCCCAGTGGGGGACGTGCAGGAGGCAGCCGATGAGTGATTCTCTCTCTCATCATGGATGTTTCTCTCTCTCTCTTCCTTGCTCTTTGAAATCTATCGATCGATCTCTATAGAAAACATATTTTATTGATTTTTTTTTTTTTTTTTTTTTTACACCGAGAGGAAGGGAGAGGGAGAGAGAGAGTCAGAAACATCGATGACGAGAGAGAAACATCCATCCGCCGCCTCCTGCACGCCCCCCACTGGGGATGTGCCCTGAGCCACCGAGGTCCATGCCCTTGACCGGGCGGAATCGAACCCGGGACCCTTCCGTCCAGCAGGCCGAGGCTCTACCCACTGAATGGCTTCGACCCGTTCGTGTCTCTGTTCGCTTTCAGGGGCCGATCAGGGCTTGCTCAATAGCTTTTTCAGCGACTGGGCCACGGCTGACATCCACAAACACCTGCCTTTCACCTACAACCTCAGCTGCAACGCCGCCTACACCTACACGCCCGCCTTCCGATGGTGAGTGCCCCTCCGCGGGCCCCGGTCCCGGGTTCGAGACCCCCCCCCCCACACACACCCCCGCCCCGGGAGACGGCCGTCCCGCTCGCAAACGAATTTTTAAAATATATTTTATTTTTTTATTTTTACGGAGAGCTAGAGAGAGAGAGAGAGAGAAACAATGAAAAGACAGACATATCAACTCAGCCGCCTCCCGCACGCCCCCTCCTGGTTGGGGACGGAGCCCGCAACCCGGGCCTGCGCCCTTGACCGGGAATCGAACCCGTGACCCTCCTGGTTCATAGGTTCGACGCTCTAACCGCTGGGTCACACCGGCCGGGCTGTTGAATGTGTCCGGCCAGGACCCCGCGGACCTCTCCTCCCTTGTTTCCCCCCCTCAGGTTCGGCTCGAGGGCGAAGGTCGTGCACTTTCTCGGCCCCAGGAAGCCATGGACCTACAAGTACAACCCGCAGACGGGCTCGGTGCTGGACGAGGGCCCCGGGGCGGCCCCCCGGCACGAGCTGTCCTTCCTGAACCTGTGGTGGGACATCTACCACCGCAGCGTCCTGCCTCTGTACGGGAGCGCCCTGGGCGGGCCGCGGATCGTTCCGGAGGCCCCGCGGAACGTTCCGGAAGAAGAGCTGCGGAACATTCCGGAAGAAGAGCCACGGAACATTCCGGAAGAGCCGCGGAACGTTCCGGAAGAAGAGCCATGGAACCTTCTGGAAGGGCCGCGGAACCTTCCGGAAGTGCCGCGGAACATTCCGGAAGGGCCGCAAAACATTTCAAAAGATCTGCGGAACACTCCAGAAGAGCCGCGAAATATTCCGGAAGAGCCACGGACTATTCCGGAAGGGCCACGGAACGTTCCGGAAGGGCCACGGAACGTTCCGGAAGGGCCACGGAACGTTCCGGAAGGGCCACGGAACGTTCCTGAAGAGCCACGGAACATTCCCGAAGAGCCACGGAACATTCCGACGGTGCCATGGAATGTTCCAGAAGAGCCACGGAACATTCCAGAAGGGCCACGGAACATCCCGGAGGAGCTACGGATTCTTCTGGAAGGGCCACGGAACCCCCCAAAAGGGCCAAGGAACGTTCCGGGAGGGCCCTGGAACATTCCGCAAGAGCCGCGGAACGTTCCGGAACAGCCACGGAACACTCCGGAAGAAGTGTCTACGGGACCCTCGGTAAGTGGGGGATTCCCCTCGGGACATAAGCGTTGAGAATAGAGTCAAGCCCGGCCCGCATGACTCAGAGGTCACGGGTTCGATTCTCGGTCAAGGGCACAGGCACGGGTTGCGGGCTCCGTCCCCAACCAGCAGGGGGCGTGCGGGAGGCGGCCGATGGATGTTTCTCTCTCATCATCGATGTTTCTGACTCTATTCTTGTGTTTCCGGCAGCCAGCGGACGAGACAGGAAGTGGCCGGACGGAGGTACCTGAGCAAGGAAACCAGGATCCCTGTGTGACTGAGAATGCCCTCGAGGTAGGACCCCCATCCTTGGCTCCCTCTCGCCTCCTGCTGGTCTCTCTCTGCCTGTCCTGGGTCTCCCCGCTCATTTTTAAAAAATATTTTATTTTATTTTATTTATTTATTTTAAATATATTTTGATTGATTTTTGTACAGAGAGGAAGGGAGAGAGATAGAGAGTTCGAAACATCGATGAGAGAGAGAGAGTCATTGATCCGCTGCTTCTTGCACACCCCCTACTGGGGATGTGCCTGCAACCAAGGTCCATGCCCTTGACCGGGACTCGAACCCGGGACCTTTCCGTCTGCAGGCCGACGCTCTATCCACTGAGCCACACCGGTTTGCTCAGGGGTTGAATCTTTTATTTTTTTTTATTATTATTTTATTTTTTATTTTTATTGATTTCAGAGAGGAAGGGAGAGAGAAAGAGAGAGAGAGAGAGAGAGACACATCCATGAGAAGCAGACAGACTTTCCGTTCGAAAGTGTGTGTAGCCGAAACCGGTGTGGCTCAGCAGACCGAGCGTCGGCCTGCGGACGGAAGGGTCCCGGGTTCGATTCCCAGGTCCAGGGCACTTTACCTTGGTGGTTGGGGGCACATCCCTAGTGGGGGGGCGTGCGCAGAAGGCAGTGGATCAATATTTCTCTGTGATGGATGTCTCTGGCTCTCTATCCCTCTCCCTTCCTCTCTGTAAAAAAAAAAATAAAAAAAAATCAATCAAATATATTTAAAATATATTTATTTTAGAGCATCGGTCTGTGGACTGAAAGGTCCCGGGTTCGATTCCGGTCAAGGGCATGTATGTTGGTTGCGGGCACATCCCTGGTGGGGGGCGTGCAGGAGGCGGCTGGTCGATGTTTCTCTCTCATCGACGTTTCTAGCTCTCTCCCTTCCTCTCTGTTAAAAATCAATAAAATATATTAAAAAAATATATATATATTTAAAATAAAAATGTGTGTGTATAAAAGGCATGACACCATCAATAAACTGGCTACAGTCTGTGAAAGAACGACTATTAACAACAACAACAACAACAACAAAAACACAACAAGCCGAAACCGGTGTGGCTCAGTGGGTAGAGCGTCGGCCTGCGGACCGAAGGGTCCCGGGTTCGATTCCCGGTCAAGGGCATGGACCTTGGTTGCGGGTACATCCCCAGTGGGGGGCGTGCAGGAGGCAGCTGATCGATGACTCTCATCGATATTTCTAGCTCTCTATCCCTCTCTCTCTTCTTAAAAAATATATATTATTGATTTTTGTACAGAGAGGAAGGGACAGGGATAGAGAGTTAGAAACATCCATGAGAGAGAGTCATCGATCAGCTGCCTCCTGCACGCCCCCCACTGGGGATGTGCCCGCAGCCACCGAGGCCCATGCCCTTGACCGGGAATCGAACCCGGGACCCTTCCGTCCGCAGGCCGACGCTCTACCCACTGAGCCACACCGGCCTCGGCTCTATCCCTCTCCCTTCCTCTCCGTAAATCATCAATAAAATATATTTTTTAAAGAAAAACCTAAAAAAAAAAACTATAAGAGTGACAAAAGAACAACAACAACAAACAAACAAACAAAACGGAAACCATGTCCTGCCGTCCCGTCTCCCCCCCCGTAGGTGGCGCTGTCCGTGTCCGTGTCGGAGATCGCCATCCAGGAGAAGGTGCGGGCGCTGAGCCCCGAGGAGCAGAGGAGGCGCTGGGAGGAGGGCCACATCGATTACATGGGGACGGACGCCTTCGCCCGCATCCAGGAGAAGCTGGACCGCTTCCTGCACTGAGGGGCGCGGGGATGGCGTGTGCTCGGGGCCCCGTGGTCCCGCCCGCCGTGACTGTAGCGAGTCAGCTACGTGCTACGTGCCCGTGTCCGTCGTTCAGCGACGTGTATTTATGGTTCAACATGGCTCATCGTTCAGCTACGTGACTGTGTGCGTTCAGCTACGTGCCCGTGTTCATCGCTCAACTACATGGTTCATCGCTCAACTACATGCCCGTGTTCATGGTTCAACTACATGCCTGTGTTCATTCAACTACATGGTTCACCGTTCAACTACATGCCTGTGTGTTCATTCAACTACATGGTTCACCGTTCAACTACATGACTGTGTTCATTGAACTACATGGTTCACCGTTCAACTACATGACTGTGTTCATTGAACTACATGGTTCACCGTTCAACTACATGCCTGTGTTCATTGAACTACATGGTTCATCGCTCAACTACATGGTTCATCGCTCAACTACATGCCCGTGTTCATGGTTCAACTACATGCCTGTGTTCATTCAAGTACATGGTTCACCGTTCAACTACATGACTGTGTTCGTTCAACTACATGGTTCACCGTTCAACTACATGACTGTGTTCGTTCAACTACATGACTGTGTTCATTCAACTACATGCCTGTGTTCATTCAACTACATGGTTCACCGTTCAACTACATGCCTGTGTTCATTGAACTACATGGTTCATCGCTCAACTACATGGTTCATCGCTCAACTACATGCCCGTGTTCATGGTTCAACTACATGCCTGTGTTCATTCAACTACATGGTTCACCGTTCAACTACATGACTGTGTTCGTTCAACTACATGACTGTGTTCATTCAACTACATGCCTGTGTTCATTCAAGTACATGGTTCACCATTCAACTACATGCCTGTGTTCATTCAACTACATGGTTCATCGTTCAACTACATGCCTGTGTTCATTCAACTACATGGTTCACCGTTCAACTACATGACTATGTTCGTTCAACTACATGACTGTGTTCATTCAACTACATGCCTGTGTTCATTCAACTACATGGTTCACCGTTCAACTACCTGCCTGTGTTCATTGAACTACATGGTTCATCGCTCAACTACATGGTTCATCGCTCAACTACATGCCCGTGTTCATGGTCCAACTACATGCCTGTGTTCATTCAACTACATGGTTCATCGTTCAACTACATGCCTGTGTTCATTCAACTACATGGTTCACCGTTCAACTACATGACTGTGTTCGTTCAACTACATGACTGTGTTCATTCAACTACATGCCTGTGTTCATTCAAGTACATGGTTCACCATTCAACTACATGCCTGTGTTCATTCAACTACATGGTTCACCGTTCAACTACATGCCTGTGTTCATTCAACTACATGGTTCACCGTTCAACTACATGACTGTGTTCGTTCAACTACATGACTGTGTTCATTCAACTACATGCTTGTGTTCATTCAACTACATGGTTCACCGTTCAACTACATGCCTGTGTTCATTGAACTACATGGTTCATCGCTCAACTGCATGGTTCATCGCTCAACTGCATGCCCGTGTTCATGGTTCAACTACATGACTGTGTTCATTCAACTACATGCCTGTGTTCATTCAATTACATGGTTCATCGTTCAACTACATGACTGTGTTCATTCAACTACATGCCTGTGTTCATCGTTCAACTACATGTATTTATTGTTCAACATGGTTCACCATCCAACTACTGTGTTCATTCAACTATGTGCCTGTGTTCATTCAATTACATGCCCGTGTTCATCACTCAACTACATGCCTGTGTTCATCGTTCAACTACATGGTTCATCACTCAACTACATGGTTCATCGCTCAACTACATGCCCGTGTTCATCACTCAACTACATGCCTGTGTTCATCGTTCAACTACATGATTCATCATTCGACTACATGCCTGGGTTCATTAAACTACATGCCTGTGTTCATTCAACTACATGGTTCATCATTCAACGACATGACTGTTCATTCAACTACATGCCCGTGTTCATCGCTCAACTAGATGCCTGTGTTCATCACTCAACTACATGCCTGTGTTCATCGTTCAATTACATGGTTCATCGTTCAACGACACGCCTGTGTTCATTCAACTACACGCCCGTGTTCATCATTCAACTACATGCCTATATTTATCATTCAACTACGTGCCCGTGTTCATTGCTATTTATGGGTCGACCAACCTCAGTGCCACACACACACACACACACACACACACACACACACAAAATAGAACCCAGACCGTGAACAACCAGGACGAGGGCTTCATCCCGGCGATGTGTGGCCAGGACTCGCTCAGGACTACCAAGTGCAAAGGACCCCCCTGGGAGGCAAATCTGCGAGCCTGCTCTTCGCTGGCTCTCCCTCCCTGACTCCCCAGCAGCGTGTTCCTGCCGTGTCAACTCCGTTCTCTGGGGAGAATTCTCGGTGTTCCGAGACCGGACACTGTCTTCCCTGAGAAAGGCTGGTCCCTCATGTTGTGAATTCGTGGAAAATGCTGTGAATCCTCCTTCCCCACCTCGATTATAATAATAATAATTATAATAACAATAATAATTATAATAATTATAATAATAAAACACGCATGCTGAAACCGGTGTGGCTCAGTGGATAGAGCGTCAGCCTGCAGACCAAAGGGTCCCGGGTTCGATTCCCGGTCAAGGGCACAGACCTTGGTGGCTGAGGGCACATCCCCAGTGGGGGGTGTTTAGGAGGCAACTGATCAATGATTCTCTTGTCAATGTTTCTAACTCTCTCTCTCTTCTCCCTTCCTCGCTGAAATCAATGGAAAAATATTTTTAAAAATAATAATAAATAGCCCTGATTGGTGTGGCTCTGTGGATAGAGCGTCAGCCTGCAGACCAAAGGGTCCCGGGTTCGATTCCCGGTCAAGGGCACGGACCTTGGTGGCGGGCACATCCCCAGTGGGGGGCGTGCAGGAGGCGGCTGGTCGGTGTTTCTCTCTCATCGACGTTTCTAACTCTCTGTCCCTCTCCCTTCCTCTCTGTAAAAAAAAAAAAAAAAAATCAATAAAAAATATTTTTTTAAAAATAAAATGAAATACAAATAGGATTTTAAAATGTATCTATTTCACCAAGAAGCACGTTTAACCCCAAGGACAGGAGAGAAGGGGAGGGTAGCGGCAACATAAACACTTTTTATAGGACACGTGAAGACATTGAATTGGTCGTTGCCTATGAACAATGGCTGATGGGTTAGCATGAGTAGAAACCAGTGGGTTCAAGGCCCCAAATGAAAAGAGGGCTCCTCCCATGAAGGTCTGGGTCCCCCAATATAGGTCTGAACCCCGTATGGTGGTCTGGGTGTCTGGATTGGGGTTTGAACTACGATTCCCAGAATTCCTTGTGCTCCAGGCGCCCTGGGTCTGGGCCTGCCACCAGAACTACAATTCCCAGAATACCTAGTGTTCCCCATGCTCTGGGCCTGGGCCTGCCACGAGAACGACAATTCCCAGAATTCCCAGTGCTCCCTGCGCTCTGTGCCTGGAACTGCCACAAAAACTACAATTCCCAGAATACCTAGTGTTTCCCATGCTCTGGACCTGGGGCTGCCACCAGAACTACAATTCCCAGAATGCCTAGTGCTTCCCCAAGTTCTGGGCCTGGCACCAGAACTATGATTCCCAGAATTCCTGGTGCTCCACACTCTCTGGGCCTCTGCTTCTGGACTTGCCATTAGAACTACAATTCCCAGAATTCCCAGTGCTCCCTACGCTCTCTGTGCCTGGGCCTGCCACCAGAACTACAATTCCCAGGCCCAGAGAGCTGGGATCACTGGGGATTCTGGGAATTGTAGTTCTGATGGCAGGCCCAGACCCAGAGAGCGGGGAGCACTGGGAATTCTGGGAATTGTAGTTCTGGTGGTGGCCCCAGACCCTAGGAATTCTGGAAATTGTAGTTCTGGTAGCAGGCCCAGACCCAGAGAGCAGGGAGCACTGGGAATTCTGGGAATCATATTTCTGGTTGTGGCCCCAGGCCCTAGGAATTCTGGGAATCATATTTCTGGTGGCAGACCCAGGCCCAGAGAGTGGGGAGCACTGGGAATTCTGGGAATCAGTTCTGGCCCCAGGCCCTAGGAATTCTGGGAATCGTAGTTCTGGTGGCAGATCCAGGCCCAGAGCATGGGGAACACTGGGAATTCTGGGAATCGTAGTTCTGGTGGCAGGCCCAGGCACAGAGAGTGGGAATGACTAGGGATTGTGGACTTTTAGTTCTGGTAGCAGGCCCAGACACAGAGCGTGGGGAGCACTGGGATTTCTGGAAATCATATTTCTGGTTGTGGCCCCAGGCCCTAGGAATTCTGGGAATCGTAGTTCTGGTGGCAGGCCCAGACCCAGAGCGCAGGAGCACTGGGAATTCTGGGAATCGTAGTTCTGGTAGCAGGCCCAGACCCAGAGAGCAGGGAGCACTGGGAATTCTGGGAATTGTAGTTCTGGTGGCGGGCCCAGACCCAGAGACCTGGGATCACTAGGGATTCTGGGAATTGTAGTTCTGGTGGCGGCCCCAGGCCATAGGAATTCTGGGAATTGTAGTTCTGGTGGCAGGCCCAGACCCAGGGCGCGGGAGCACTGGGAATTCTGGGAATCGTAGTTCTGGTGGCAGGCCAGGCCCAGAGTGTGGGGAGCACGGGGAATTCTGGGAATCATAGTTCTGATGGCAGGCCCAGACCCAGAGCACAGGGAGCAGTGGGAATTCTGGGAATTGTAGTTCTGCTGGCAGCCCCAGACCCAGAGACCTGGAATCACTAGGGATTCTGGGAATTGTAGTTCTGATGGAGGCCCAAGGCCCTAGGAATTCTGGGAATTGTAGTTCTGGTGGCAGGCCCAGGCCCAGAGCGTGGGGTGCACAGGGAATTCTGGGGATCATAGTTCTGGCGGCAGGCCCAGGCCCAGAGAGTGGGAGCACTGGGAATTCTGGGAATCATAGTTCTGGTGGCAGGCCAGGCCCAGAGTGTGGGGAGCACGGGGAATT